GCCCGCTCGTCCGTCCTGTGTGGCCTCGGGCAAACCTCTGGGCGCCTCTGGGCCCGTCTCGGTGAACACCCGCATGCGGGCGGCGGGACGCACTTCTGGGTAAGGGAGGAAGCGCGTGGGGGCCACCTGCGGCCGCAGGACACCTGCCGCGGCCTGGCTGGGCCCGTGGGTCCCTCGGGCCTGAGGCGCTGGAGCCCACGCTGTCTCCTCCCTCCCACAGGCAGCTGCTCAAGACGGAGCTGGGGTCCTTCTTCACCGAGTACCTGCAGGTGGGTGGGCCCCTCCCCGGGGGCCGTGGCCGCACCGTGACTCGGTTTCCCCAGGTAGCCGGCTGCAGTGGTCATGGCGGTTCGGTGCCAGGTGCGGGTCGGGGTCGGTGTTGGCGGCCGGCGCCTCCCTCCCGCCCGGCAGGCCTGCGGAGCCTCACCCCCACGGCCGGGCCCCGGAGTCCGGGTCAGGGCCGTGCTCGCGGGCCCGCCGGCCAGTGCGCTTAGCAGGTCCACGCCCACACCGTGCCCAGCCTGGACTCCTCACCCCCGGAAAGCCGCACCCTCCCCGGCGCCTCCCACGCAGTCCGGGCTGCCCCATCCCGGGGTTCGTGTCTGTGGGGCCCCACGGAGCCGGGGGTGGCGGCTGCTCACGCTGACCTGCGTCTTGGGGGGTCTCCATGCCCTCAGCGCTGGACAGTGCTGCGTGGCCTGGAGACACCCGTTTGGCTCGCTGCTGTGAGCTGGGCGTGCTACTGGGGTGCCCACCCTCCGCCTGTTGTGAACGTGCTGGGACCCCGCAGGGCCCCGCTCACCCGATTGCTGCTGCTTTGGGGTCCCTGTGCTGTGAGCCCCACTGCTGGCTCATATGCCAAGCTGCCGGGGTCCTGGCCCTGCCCTGGAAGTCCCTTCTCTTCGTGGGGTGCAGAGGCAGTGGCTCTGGGGGCTGTCCCCACAGCCAGAGCGCAACTTGGTGGAGCCCAGGTCAGGCTGAGGCCCAGGGCTTGGGGGGGGGGGCTGTGAGAGCCCCTGGGGACCTAATGCCCGGCTGGTGGGCTCCTGGGGCCCCCTGCTGGGACCCCAGGGCGCCCCCAGAGCAGGGACAGGCTCTGGTTGCCTTGCAGAACCAGCTGCTGACCAAAGGCATGGTGATTCTCCGGGACAAGATCCGCTTCTACGAGGGTGAGTGGCCGCCGTGACTGGCCCGGGGTGGGGCCACGTTGCCGGCCGGCCGGGTAGGTGGACGCCCTGGCCGTGCTGGAGATGGGGCACCGCCGGCCTGACCTGCACCCCAGGGAGAGCAGAGCGCGGAGGGGGCTGAGATCGGACCGGGGACACTTGCTGGGGAGACCGAGTGCCCCTGTGGGCTGGCCAGGGAGATCCGGGCAGGCTTCCTGGAGGAGGCACACCCAGGCCGCCCTCCCCCGCCCTCTGACGTGGCACATTCCGGCAGTGCCTGCGCCGCCCACCGCTCCGGCCAGAGGAGCTGGCCGCAGAGAACTGCAGCTTTGTGTGGCTGGGCGCTGCCCACAGTGGCCACGCCGCCAGGCCCCC